GACTGTTTCCTGGGAGAGTAGCCTACAATGCCGGTGTCTGTTTCTATAAAGTGGGGCAATTCCAACTTTGCATGGACAGCCTAGATTCTGACTCGTAGCCTGTAAGTATGTTTTCATATTTAAAGAATTTGCCACTGACGATTCAAACGCAAGTTTTGGGCAGTGTAGAGTAGCGCTTGTTGTTTGTCGTTTCTCCGATCACAAATGCAGACATGGTTTTATGTTTACGCGGCGCGATACGCAACGCGTAAAAAGACAGTATAAGTCATTATAATCAGTAATTATGTCCCCACTGGATGCAACAAATGCCTCGTTTATAATGGGTTTTATTGGTGTTGTTGTCTCATCGCACCGGGACACAGCATCACAGTATGGTAAGGGACGTAACATTTCCGAATGTGTTTTTTTAACCTTAAACCGCATAAACACATTTTATTACTACAAATACACAAAATAATGTTCTTTTTAGCAACGTCATATGACCCCTTTAATCTATATATCTGACCCATGTATAACTCTGCATAATCTATATGTCTAACCTATCTGTAACTCTATATAATATTTCAATCTAACCCGTCAGTGATATACATGGTAATAGATGGGTCAAATATGTAATCTATACACCTCTATAACCCTATTTAATCTATATATCTGCCCCCTCTGTGAACCTGTGTTATCTATGTCTAACCTCTACATCTCCTCATTATTTGCTGTATTTGTAAATTTTACATTTTGTTAGTTAGTTAGTTAGTTATTTGACACTTTTGTTTTGATCCAAAGGATCTTAAAGTACATTTAGTACTTTGTGATGCTTATGCTTGGCTGAAGGGCATAATAGCAATATAGGGCCAATGTAGTATGAGTCTGGATCTGTAACTGCTAAGATACCAGCACTTTATCTAAATAATCCATCACTCTTGATGGTGATAAGTTCATGTAGCATGTTTGTGTGACTGTGCCTTTTTAAAACAATAGGCAATTTTGACAAGTGCAGATTTATCCATAACTTATGACAGATCATGACTGACACTTTTTTACCGATTCGAATAAAAGTAGAATGTGTGCATATATGCATATTTTGTGTGTTTCTTCAGGGACCCAGGAGTGTAAGATTTTACCGTCGTCTAGATTTTTTCCTCCGGCTGAAGATCACTCTTTCTCTACTCGTCTTTCTGGTCAGCTTCCACTGCTTTCTGTGGCTCCTTATGCCTCCTTTCTTTTCATTTCATTCATTCATTTCTTTCGTTATACATTTATTCACTTTTCACTCTTTCTTCTTTCGTCTGGGTGTGTTATAATGTCACTGATTTATTTTATGTTCCTATGTGTATTTTTAAATGGTTGTGTGTTGTGTGTAGCATTTGTATTTGTGTTTAAGAGGGACTTGTCTCACCTAACTGCCAAACAGCTTTGATTTCTAGAAACACACCTCATTTTGGTGTTTTACAAGAAGCAGAAGCTCAAAACCCTGCCCACCCTGAAAACCATATAGACTATGTGTATGCATGTATATCTGTTCATGCATGTGAGTGTCTCTGTGTTTCGTGGCTGTACATTTTTCCCTCTCTTCCATGTAGACTCTGTAGAGGATGGAGTGATCAGAAAATGTCCAGAGAGAGGTGAAGTATTCATCCCTGTCCTCTAATCATGTTCTCTTTATCATATCAGACTATATCACAAATAAACCATAGCAGGGTTGTCAGGGTCACTGTGCAATGACCAAATGACTGTGCATTTTTGCTTGGCTACTTGATGAATAAATGGACATAAAATATTTGAGTTAAAAAGAGATTGATTGCCAGGCACTTAAGTCAAATATAGAGTTTATTATGGGTTATTATTATACAATAATAATTGACCACAGAATGCTGTCATTGAAGAATCAGAATAAAGGAGCTGTTAAAAAATCTGTTGTGTTTTGCCCCTCAGGTCGTGCTAAAGTAGATCTGCAGGAATATCTGAAACAGTGGCAGGAAGACTTGCAGCGGAGAGAGGAGAATATTAAAGATCTGCCCAGAATTAATCAGGTAAACACACACCGAAGATGTGGTCAGAATCTGAAATGTCTTTGTTTCCTTTGTTAAATGGCTTTGTTCAGCGAGCCATTTAATGATGACTGAACGATGGCTTTTCACGTCTTTATGGCTGAGATTTTTCCAGTTCATGTATAGCTGATCTGTGTACATTAAAGGGATAGTTGACCCAAAAATAAAATTTCTGTCATTAACTACTCACCCTCATGTCGTTCCAAACCCGCAAGACCTTCGTTCATCTTCGGAACACAAATTAAAATATTTTTGATGAATTCCGAGAACTCTCTGACCCTCCCATAGACAGCAAGGATCCTTACACGATCAAGGCTCAGAAACGTAACAAGGAGATCGTTAAACTAATCCATGTGACATCAGTGATTCAACCGTAATTTTTTGAAGCTACAAGAATACTTTTTATGTGCAAAGAAAACAAAAATAATGACTTTATTCAACAATTCGTCTCCTCCGTGTCACATACATATGACGCGTATCACATACGTAAACAACATATGTACGCGGATACGTTGTTTACGCTTTGATCTGAATGTAAACAATGTATGAATGTTGCTCATTCTTATTTAAGTACAGCACCTGGTTGGCTTTGTCCTGATCAGTGATGATTCCACAAGTATTTGACAACAGTGTCATCAGCGTTCATTCTCTGCTCACTGACCTTGTTCAGAGCAGTTCTATTCCTGTTCTCTGCCATAGTCTGTCTGCTCTCACTGTCCTGAACACATACAAACTCAAGTGGAGACTTGTCTTATTGAAGTGTAATAGGGATGTTGTCCGTGGTAACCTCTATAGTGATTTGTTGTCATTTCTGACCACATTTAAGCCATATAAACACAGTTCAGTTTAATTAAAGAGACTGTATCGACTGTGTTCCAGGTGCAGTTTATTGGTTTGACGAAGACTCTGTACGGTGTGTTCCATGGCAACGAGGAGGAGGAGAGTCTGTACCGTGCTGTGGCGCGAGTGACCAGTCTTCTGCTGCGCATGGAGGAGGTAGGGCGGAAGCTACAGGAGAGCAGCCCGCAGAAAATGCCCCAAAGTACACCCACCAGCACGGCTCAGCCAGAGACCTCCCCAACATTACCCACCAGCCCTGAGACCGAAACCCTCGCCGAGGGTGAAGGCGACCAACCCGAGTCTCCGGCCAATCAACAAGAAACTGCCCCATCCCACTCTGACATTACCCCGACCTCAACCTCGCGTCCTTCCACGCCCACCAGCAGTCCCACCGGAACCAGCAGCCCCGTGTTTGACACGCCAGCAGACACGCCCAGCTCGCCCTCTGCAGTCAGAGACGGGGACTGGAGTTTCTCCTTCGAGCAGATTCTTGCATCTCTCCTGAATGAACCATCTGTCGTTCGCTTCTTCGAACGGGCCATTGACACAGATTCTCTGATCGCACACGCACGCAAAAACCAGCTTAAAGATGCACACTAACACACTATATCAGAGCAATCACAGCAAAACACTGCCCTAAAAGCCATAAACCCTCTCCCTTCCTCTTTCTCTTTGCTGTGCGACTTGTACAGGTCAGTGTTTGTGAAACCCTTATGTCCGTTACAGATGAGGAAATAGTTTTATTTATATACAGACGCACAAGTACAAATCAAAGGGACCCCCAAAAAAAATTATTGAAGTATAAAATGATTCAGATTGCACAGTATGAAGAAAAACAGGTATTTTGATGTAATATAAAAGATTAGTGTTCGATGTTATTTGTGTAATATAAATGATTGGTGTGAGATATTGTGATATAATGTAGATGAAGGTATTACGATGTAATATAGATGAGGTATTATATTATAAATAATAGTATAAATGGCACGTGTGATTTGGGATGACGGCATGAAAAGGCTTTGCCTGCTTTATCCATTAAGTAACCTCGAAACAGCTCACATGCACTACGTCTCTCATTCCCAGCCTGACATGTAGAACCACAAAAGGAAGGATGATTGTAAGGGAAATCAACTGCTAATGGCTGAAAAAATTCTATTGTTTGAGAATTCATTCAAAATATCTTGTTCCATAACACGTATGTCTCCTTACATTACGTACCTTGCTCGAATGAGCTATGAAATTCTTTCGTTCTTTCTGTAGAGGCTTGATTAGGAATGCCCAGAATGGTTATGCTAATGAGGAGGCGGAGTTTAGTCCACATCATATCACATTCCACTGCACTGAAGGTCTGTATTATTCCAGATTATAGTCATGTAATTCTGATTCACTGAATGTGTTTGTGTCTACAAACCGAAATCTGTGGTTTATGCCTTATTGGTTTTTGATTCAGGACTTCAGTACGATCACAAGTGCTTCCATTTAATTAAAACCTATTTCATCTTTAAACATGTTTCGCAATCGTTTTGGAGATTAGTATCAAAATATATTTGAATTTTGTCATAAAACAAGAAGTATATTTTCTGTCATTATTTTACAGATTAAAAAAAAATATCATAGAGAACATACTGAAATGCTTTAGCAAGAAAAATATTTAGTTGCGCTGTAAATGATATGCAAAAAGTGTATAAGTAATTTTTCTGTCAGTTCATGTAGTCGAAGCTGTAAAACATTAAGTGATAAATCACTTCACCTATCATAAGAGTTGTATGATGCTTAAAATGGACAAATGGATATGCAGAATCATTCTTAATTTTGAATTTTGTGTAAATGTTGAGAGCTTGTGGTGATGAGTGCAAGAAAATTGGTGTTTTGTGGTTATTCCGTTTGAAGTTGTGTCAGGTCTACACCAGCTAAACAACGTTTTTCATTCTGTGTGTAATAAAGTAATTATGTTCTTCTGAAGCTAAAGGCACCTCAGAGTAGGAAGCCGTAGTGCGTATTTTCCATTCGATTGGTTGGTCATCTAAGGAAGATGTTGTTTTGGTTTTGTATTCTTGCACACTAACCACAAAGTCCATAGAAATACTTGCAGAAGGAGTTGCATTGAAAGATAAATTATTAGTATTACATCTCAGAGTCGCTCTCGTACTGTTCTTGCTGAACATTTGATGTTCGCTTCATGTACTTCAGGGTAATAGTGTGGTCGGTTTGATTTTTAGTTTTTTTTTATGTTTATTTTTTTGTCTTAAATATATAACTTTGTTACAATCTGTTTGTGCCTCATAAACTGTCACATTATGAAAATGTAATGATAAAATAAAATGTATGAAGAAAGGATCTTCCCTCTCTTTATCTATCTATCTCTTATGTTGTTCTAGGAGCAACATTGATGTTGATCCAGGAACATGGGAATATCACAGCCTTCTGCTACTCTGAGAACAATATAAGCAGGATTTCCACAGTGCTGTCAATAGTGTGATCGATCCCAACTGCAGGCATGCAGACAGGTTCCTGCTGTGATCTGCTTCAGCTGCCTTTGATAAGCCACCTGAGGAAGGTTACATATTTTATGGCGGTCATGTTGGCACAGTTTGACATTGTGTCCTCTGACTCTTGCCACTATGGCAGCATCTGTTGTGAGACATGCACAATTTTCTTAAAAGGGGGAGATTGTAACCTGGGTCTTGACTTTGACCATACATAATCCTTATCAAGACCATCGAAAGTGCTGATCATGAATCCCACTTTTGGCTTTGATTTTGTTGTAAGCATGTTCTAGATCGCTTCAAAATGAAAATGTAATGGCAAACATTGAAGATGAGCTACAAAGCTGTAGATTTATTATGCAACACATGGATTCCACACAAAAGAAATTAATTTATAGCACAATCATTTGTATAACTCTTTTCCATTGACTTCCATTCAGATAGAACAGCTTTTGATCCTCTAAATTGGGACGCATCTAGTTGCAATGAAATGGAAGTATTGGCAGATATTTTCTTGTTGTGACAGAATATCGAAAAAGAAAAAAAAACCTGTTCTTTTCGATGGTTGTTGGTTGGAATTTAAGATGTCTGAATTGGGGAGGGATAGGTTTAAGCAGATTTAATTATTAAGTCCAGCATACAACACCAGAGAGAAGTCGGCAGATCAGTTATGATATTTTAATTAAGAATTATGAGGTAAATAATAATAATTATTATTATTATAAAACATGTATGGATGAATTGTTCACACACAAAACACATTTAGAACATGGGGTGCATTTTCATTTCATGTCAGCTTTAAGCAGAGGTTGTAGTCTAGAAGGTCTCTGGTCATGCAGCATTTCAAAATGTAAAAGATACTGTTTCAAAACTTTGGATACCACCTTTTTTTTTGCCGTAAGAGTGGCCGTGGCCATTTGTAAATATAATGGGCCTGGCTTCCGGTGTCATCCGCTTCCAGCTATTTTTAGCTGTACAAAACAGCTTGTTTTGCTGCTTGATATTGCAAACGGGTGTGTCTTACTTTAATATTATATATTAATTGAATGTATTAATTATGAATACACTGGTTTGTAATGCAAACAGTTTTACAGTTAACTGCACTTTGTTATTCTTCTCATTGTTTATTGGTTGTGGCTAGAAGGGATCCAGCAAAAAACGGAAGCTAACAATAAATTACGTTTTCTACCTATTAGATTGTGTTTTATTAACGTCTACACCTACCCCAACCCTAAACCTACCCCTTACAATAATGCAAAAATAGTAATTATTGTTGTACATTGTGAGAAAAATTACGCATGCCCAGTAGTTTTTGCTGTATCCCTTTTAGCCTTAACCTTGTTTTATTCCTTACAGAGGCTAATGAACCAGAAGTCTCTCACTTTCACAGAAAATGGCTTACATCCGCGTTGAAAAATAAGGTGGATAGTGAGCTTCCCAACAAAATGAAACACTTCACATTTTATCATTCTGTGGCCTTTTGAAAGTATCTAATCTTTCATCTGTCTTCTGTCTGTTTGAAAATGTATACATATTCATTTCACAAGCTTAGTGTATATGTATTTATTTGTTGTGCTTGTCTGTGAGTAGCCTATCAAGTTATTAGCTTAGCAACATGCTAACATGAGACACTTTGTGCAGCGCATGAGTGACTCTTAATGGAGCTGCAGCTTATTTCAAATCAGTCACTTTTGAGGCTCTTTTTGGGTCAGAATGATGCTGCTTTTGAAAGACAGTAGACATCAAGAGAGCTCACAAGGTTTTTGAGCAGAGATCGAGAGGTAATAACAGCCCAAAACCCATCAGTGACACTTTTTGGATCTGCTGAAAGGCTTTTGGCAACATCTTGAGTCAGTCTGTACTCTTGCCCAATGTAACAGATTTAGCCAATCAGTGCTCCTTCCCGTCCGTCTGCCAGACCTGTCTCAGGTTTCAAACCAGACACACACACATACAAAGTGTCTCTGGGCACTTATTTTAGCTCTCTAAGAATAGTCTCCAGTGTTTATTTAAGCAGTAAACACACACATAGCAACTTTGCTTTATATCATTCATGTTTACATGAGAATGTGTGGATGGTACATTCATACAGTACTAGTTCTCTGGTTAAAAAAAATTAAACAGGCCAAAGACACACTGTAAACACCTGGTTAAGACAGTCAGCCAAGTCTAGATGATGTAACTGTTGTAAGCTGTTGACTTGTAAAATGTGATTAGTATTGCCACTGAAAAAAATATAAATTAGTTTTCCTCCACAGTCAGTCTGCCCCATAAAACCTCACAAAATTCAAACGTTCACATTTTACCCGTAAGTCTCCTAAGTATTTTAATGTTGGTAATTGAAAAGCATTTTTAATTCATTTTAAGTGATCATCCTTACGAAAGCCCTTTTCCGCCACGTAAGAAAAAAACATGTTTTGGTAAATCATGATTATGACATATAATGTTGAAATTATGAGATACTAACTCAAAATTCTGAAATAAAAAGTCAAAAATATGAGATCAATTCATAATTATGGAAATCAAAATGGACAAAATGTCAAAATTATAAGAAAAATGTTTGTTGACATTTCTCATAATGACTCATAATTTCAACTTTTTTATTTTTTTTATGCCATGATTTGTATTTCATAATATCCTTTATGCTGTAATTTTGACTTTTTATGTCATAATTATGACTTAATGTATCATAATTTCTACTTTTTGACTTACCAATTATGATTTATCAAAGCAAAGCTTCCATATGATTTTAGTTTATGATTCAATCATCAATCTTTTCAATTAATGATCAAGTTATTGCAATGTTCCCACAAAATGAATTCAAGTAAAGCATCACACCAATTTACATTCGGACTCCCTGATTCTGATGCCACTCTAAATTACACTTTTATTCTTGCCATGCTCTCAGAGCCTGTGAGCGAACGAGGAGTCTTGTTTGCGTCTGGTCAGATTTTGAGGTCATCCATCCTGGTCTTGTTGTTGCTGTATCGACTTGAATGGCTGGGCCTGCGCTGCTGGCTTGGTGATCCGGGGACAGAATTTGCTGTTTTGTTGATCTTGACATCTGCGGCGTCCGGTTTCCCGCTGCGCTCTACAGCCATGTTCTCACGGTTCTGCTTATAAACAGAGCGGCTGCCGTGTGGCGGGAAGGTTCCATCGGGTTCTGAGAGGTTGAAGTGTGGCTCTGTGGGAAAGGGAGCTGGAGGTGGTGCGTGAGGTGGAAAATACGGGTAGTTTGGCACAAACGGAACCACCGCATCCTCACTAGGCGCTTTAGATTCAGTGTCGCAGACAGAATGAGAGCGTCTGTATCGAAGACCCTGACGGCATTTGGTGAAACCCAGGTGGTACATCTCCACCAGGTTGAGCAGCAGAGAAACACAGGCCACGGCCAGCATAAATATGATGAAGATGGTTTTTTCTGTAGGTCGTGAGATGTAGCAGTTGACGGTGTTGGGACAGGGCCATCTGTTGCAGGTGTACAGCGGCTTGAGCTCGAATCCGTACAGGAAGTATTGTGCCACAATGAAGCCCACCTCAAACAGTGTTTTGAAGACGATGTTGAAGACATACGTGCGTAGCAAGACTCCCTGCAGACGGATCTTCCCCTGTTCGTCACGTATGGGACCTTTTCCAGATTTGGTGCTCAAAAGTGCCTGTTTGTCCATCCCGCCTGCCTCGTTGTGTTTTTGTTTCTTCTCCATGCGCACCAGGTGCAGGATATGGCCCAGGTAGATCAGTGTCGGAGTGGAGATGAAGATGATCTGAAGCACCCAGAATCGGATGTGAGAGATCGGGAAGGTTATATCATAGCATACGTTCTGGCAACCGGGTTGTTTGGTGTCGCAGGTGAAACCGGACTGCTCATCGCCCCAAACCTTCTCTGCGGCAGCACCGAGCACCAAGATGCGGAAGATGAAGAGTACGGTGAGCCAGACTTTGCCCACCACCGTGGAGTGTTCCTGGGCACTTTCCAAAAGCTTCCCAAGCGAGTTCCAGTCTCCCATTACTGTTGCGTGCCCACCTGCAAATACACACAAAAATACAGAGATACACCAATTTTAATTAAGCTAATAACCAGTAAGGGCCAATAATCACTAAATGACATTATGATGTGAAAATTCTACATTAATTAGTCTGAATAATAATTGGCAAAAGTTATCTAAATTAAAAAAATAAGGGAAATGAATAAACACAATCCAGTCAGCCTTACAATACTTCCCTACAAAAATGTATACTCTTACTTATGTATTAACTTTTTCTTAAATTTACGTCCAAAAAGAAAAGAAAAGGTCCAGCATGTATTAACACACACGTCTACTTAGTCATCTAAATGTGGACGTTCTGTAGACTTCTATTGAATATACATGTATACATATAGTTAAAAATACCATAACCTAATCATACCAGAAACCTTCATTTTTGCAAAAACATCATTCATTTTTGTCAGATTTAGATTAATCCTGAGTCCACATTTGTCCCCAAAATATGGTATAGTAAGTATTTACATAGGCACACAGATACACGCTAACACACACATATATTATTAGTGGGGTGGGTTGAAGGTTCTTTGTCATGTTTGAGGGATGTGTTTGGTCATGTGGCCCTGAGGTTTCACTGACATGTCTTCATGCCTGAGCATGACCTGAAACAGGTGGAGATACTGACCCCTACACACACACACATAAGGATCTTCCAACACACTTCACACTTTCTGTATTGCATACTGTCTGTTAACAGATTATCTTAAACTAACCATTAAAGCATCTTACCTTTTCAAACTTTTTAATGCTATGGACCCCAAAAATGACGCTGCCCTTGCGAATGGGACAGCCATATATTTTATGTATAGAGTGAAAAAAATATATTATAAATTTGTCTCAAATATTTCCTGGAAATATCTACTTTCCAGATAATATCTAATACAAAATATCTACTTTGTATTAAGTTGACACTGACATCTTTTTATATCTTACTTGTGAACAAAACAATTAGTGATTTGATTAAATAATTTGCGAATGATTTTCTGTTTAGAAAACTAAAATGAAATTCTGTCTTTTTTATTTTATTCTATTTTATTTTATAAATTCATTTATTTTTTGTTGCATGTCTCTATGAACAATTCTGGAACTTGTCCCTGGACCTTAGTTTGAAAACCTTGGCCTTTATGTACATAGATTCCAATAATAAAATTCTAAAAGTATTTCACCATTATATATGAATCTAAAAGCCTCTCAGTTGAGCTATACTGTGTTTATTTAGCTTAGCAGTTTCACACTGAAACGCACACAAATTCTGTGAAGAACATCAAACAAGTATTTCTAAATTAAAATATACACCCTTTCTCAGATAATCAACCAGACACACTGCGATTAGTCATTCACAAATAAATACATACACAGTGATATGAATTAATCGCATTAGTCATAATACTAAATATAGGACCCTTTTTGCTTCCCAAAATCTGATGGATCTGACAATATTTTCTACCATTATTAAGCCATATCTTTACATATAAATCCATAGATTGATTCATGCTGGCAAATGAAAGGAATCAAAAACTGTTAAAAGTGAATACAAGACAGAGAAGAGTCTGAAAAGGTATTAAATTGATTTCATTCTGACAGATGCTATTCCTGTGCTGTCTTCACTCAGTTTGAGTATCGGCCTGTGTGTGTGTATAAAGGGAGTGTGTGAGAGTCAGTTAATTCTATAGCTTGAGACTCACCTTTCTTAAAAGTCCAGAGTTAGAATGATCCCCTCATACATAAATAGTAAAAAGTCTACAAGTCTGGACGCAGTGCTGTACTTACACTTTCTTCTGTACTCCAACACAGGCTCAAACAGAAAGAGAGAACTGACTCATACAAATACACTGTATATATGTGTGTGCATGTATGTGTGTGTGTGTTAGGGTTAATTTTGGCAGGGAACACAATCCCTAGGGAGAATTTTGAAGAGTGTACCACCTGCCTTGTTTCTCAGAGCCTCTTGGATGAGTGACAGCTGTCAGGACCAATGGCAGAGTTCACAGGACACAGTCAGTTAGGCTCATACATTCCTCCCTTTGAAGGACAGCGATTGAAACACAGTCTCTTTTTGTCTTTCTACTTTTGTTTGTGTGTTTAGCACCAGATGGAGAACAAACAGAAGTTAAAGAGCAAGAGGTAGACAATAGGCAAGACTGTGTCCCTCTGCTTGTATTTGATATGTATGCTATAATGGTCTGACAGAGGACAGGGAATTTTTACATTCTCTAAGCCCAGGTAAACTGGACTGGCTGTTGACAGAAGACCTATGACTCAAAACAGGTTCGTAAAATATTTCATTCATTTTTCTGATTGCTAATAAGTGGGATGGCATGTATATAGGCTATTATATTTATATATATCATTGAAATACTTGGAATAAAGGAACAAACTGAAATGCTTATTTCACTGAAGTCACATGGGATTCATCTAAAAGAACTGCATTGGTTATTTTTGTTTTTGTGTGCGTGTGCGTGTGTGTGTGTGTGTTTAATAATGTAATAAATATTCAATAATAATGCCACTGAACCTGGTGACCACTGTGGCAAATGTAGGCCAGTCCAAATTCTACTAAATAAATACTATAAGCAATTTTAACAACAGATTATTAAAACAGATGTCCTGTTGTAACATCAAAAGTACTTTATCAAAAAGTTATATTCATGTCCGTGAACAGAACATTACAACATTACACTGATTTTTGATATACTTGGCAACACAAGTACTTGTGGAGATGTTTGTGGAGATATAGATATGATAGCAATTATAAACCTGTTAATGCTGACAGTTTCTGGATGCTTTTATGTAAGTTAAATTGTGTTTTATCATAAATTAGCTGTCTACTGCAGCAGTTCTCAACAGTTTTGACTCCAAGGACACTTTTGTCTGAGACAATATTTGATGGCCTTTCTGAGCAATCTTACGTTGTAATAAAAAAGAGGTCAGTTTAATGTTGTACATCTTTATTTTTTTAGTGTTTTAGCATTTTCAATTAATATTATGTTAATATAAGTAAATGTAAATAATTTTAAGACTTTTGGAACCCAGTTTGCCGAGGCCCCGATCTACAAGATAATGAAGTACAGCTGATTAATAAATTGGAACATTTGGAACATTTGGAACATCTTTCTTACAAACTCGTTTTTGTTGACATTTGCAAAACAAAATGTGCAGAATGTGTTAAATCTAATCTTTGTCATCAAACAGAGATTCTACCACAAATATTACGTTTTTATTTCATTGTTTTTAGGGACAATATGAGTATAACATTTCATACAGCAGTGTGAATTTATTTCAATATTGCTCTAAAATGGTGTGGAGTAATATTATGTACACATTTTAAAAAGTATTCTTGAATTATAAAATTTAAAAAAACATGATCAATGACATTAGCCCTCATTAACATTAAGTGTTTTTGTGAAATAGCCTATTTAGGTTTCGGAGAGTGAGAGGACCAGCGCTTCTAAAAGGAGCACAGTTTCTGAGAGATCCAGGCTCCCACTGGGGACTCCTTGGAGTTATTGAGATGACGACTTGTTGCCCTAGCAACAAGAAAGACAATTTCTGCGATGTTGAGCAGGATGCAGACGCCGGACACCGCAAGCATGAATATAGTGAACACTGTTTTCTCTGTTGGTCGGGACACAAAGCAGTCAACTATGTTTGGGCATGGGTACGAGTCACACTTTACCAGCCGGAACATCTTGTATCCCGGGTAGACCAGCGCTTCTAAAAGGAGCACAGTTTCTGAGAGATCCAGGCTCCCACTGGGGACTCCTTGGAGTTATTGAGATGACGACTTGTTGCCCTAGCAACAAGAAAGACAATTTCTGCGATGTTGAGCAGGATGCAGACGCCGGACACCGCAAGCATGAATATAGTGAACACTGTTTTCTCTGTTGGTCGGGACACAAAGCAGTCGACTATGTTTGGGCACGGGTACGAGTCACACTTTACCAGCCGGAACATCTTGTATCCCGGGTAAATCATGTAGAACAGATACATAAAGGCGGATTCGAATAACACACGGAACAGCAGACTGATAATGTATGTCCACCAAAGGGCGCCAGTAATCTTCATCTTTTGGTTTTTTATCTGCTCTAAGTCTTTTGGACTGGTGCGGCCAGCTTGGCGATACAACTTTTTGTCGATATGCCGACGATGTGCAATGTGCATGGCAACCAGCAGGGCGGGGGTAGAGACCATGATGAGCTGCAGCGCCCACAGTCGGATGTGAGAGATGGGGAAGAAATGGTCGTAGCAGACGCTGTTGCAGCCGGGCTGCTGGGTGTTGCAGGTGAAGTGCGCTTTCTCATCGCCCCACACGCTCTCCGCCGCCACCACCAGAACCAGGATCCGGAAAATGAAGAGGACAGACAGCCAAATCCGCCCAATGCCGGTGGAATGCCGGTTCACGCCGCTGATCACGGCATAAAAAGACGCCCAGTTCATTTTTGGTTCCAGATCTGAAAGACGGAGAAAAAGTCCACTGTTATTAGGAAACACACACACACACACACACACAACTCTGTATAGCTATCTTTGTGAGGACGTACACTGACACAATGCAATCTCTTAGCTCCTTACCCTAAACCTACCCATCAGAACTAAGTGCCTCACCCAAACCCTTACCCTAAACCTTAACCTTTACCCAATTATAACCTGATCCCTAAAACCAAGTCTTGACCCTCAAACAGGCCTTTAAAGGAGTCTCAGAAAGTGAGGAGCGGCCAAAATATCCTTCCCCACTTTACAAGATTGTCCTCACTTCGATGGTCTAAAACTCAAACCGGCCCTCACAAAAAAAAAAACTACAAGTGCACACACACACACAAGGTTAGAACAGAAGCCTCTCAACCTAACGGAGGAGGCATCATACAGTGATCAGCTTGTTATCTGACGTATTTTAATATTATTTTATATATACACACACTACCGTACAAAAATTGGGATCAGTAATATTTAAAAAATAATAATAATCAAAATATTTTTATTCAGCAAGGACATATTAAAGATCAAAAGTGGCATGGGTTACATTTAAAATGTTACAGAAGAGTTTTATTTCAAATAAATGCAGTTCTTTTACATTTATTTTCAAGAAAAATCCTAAAAAAGCATCAGTTTCCACATAAAAATTAAGCAGCACAACAGTTTTCAACATTGATCATTCTAATAATTGTGTTGAGCACCAAATCAGCGTATTGAGTTCTGAAAGATCAAACTGAAGGCTGCAATAATGGCTGCTGTAAATTCACCACCACATTAATAAATATATATTTTTAAATATATTAAAATAGAAACAGTTATTTTAAATTGTAGTAATGATTCACAATATCACTGTTTTTACTGTATTTATAATCAAACAAATGCATTTTTGGTAAACATAAGAGATGCCTTTAAAAACAGAACACACAGCAAGCAAAATGTGCACCAGCATCGAGACATGCATAAACCCATATATCACATCAAAGTCTTGATTTAAACCCTCTTATTACTGCTCAATAACCATGAGGTGTCATAATAAGAAACATATAATGACCATGTCTGATGCAACGTACAAATATCTTTAAAACAATGCACGACACAAGAATATGAACTTACAATATGCCTTGACAATGGACTTAAATGTCCTGTACAGGCTAGTACTTGCACGAAGTGATTTTTCATGACTGTATGCTACCTGAATGTACCTCATTAACTGAAAATCATTTACATTTTACAAGAAAAGCAAGTGCAAGGACAAAATACAACCACATCTACAGCAGAAAACAGCAGCAAACCATAGAGAAAGTGAGTGAGAGAAAGAGATTTATGCAGTATTCAGTATTACCAGGCTCCGCAGGTGGTGTTAGTGGCATGGGCAGAGCCCGTGTAGAGGGGTTCTGAGACCCGCCGTGTTGCCGGTGTGTGTGTGTGTGTGTGTCTGTATGTGTGTACTTCTGTCAGATGGAGTGTCCCCAGCTTGCAGCAACCATTTATGAAGGCACAGCCACCCATGTGACCGGCGAACTCACAGCCAATGTCATTCTCCCATCACACAATGAAAGTGTGGGTTCAGTCACAGAACAAGAGTGTGCGCTTGGATGTGTGTATTTGTGTGATACGGGTCACAGAGTATCTTCCATTTTTGCCTTTCTGCCTCAGATTTGTGTAATACATCACACAATGAAAGCGTGGGTTCAGTCACAGAACAAGAGTGTGCGCTTGGATGTGTGTATTTGTGTGATATGGGTCACAGAGTATCTTCCATTTTTGCCTTTCTGCCTCAGATTTGTGTAATTTTAAATGCTCTGACCTCACAGGACCGTGCAGCAGTTTTCTTTTTTCTTTTTTTATACAAGCACATTCATTATGAAATCAGATTTTCTAGGTTTAGAATTAAATGATTAGAAGTTTAGAACTGGTCATAAGTGGGTTTGGTAGTTAGACATGTGTCAACAGTTCGGTTTGCAAATACCCTGAATATACAACCATTTGAAAATTCATTAAAATGATGATGTAGTCTTATCATGTAATTTTGTTTTACATTATTGGTGAATATTGCTATTATTCTATAATTTTAGCATTTAACGTAATAGAATATGCTTTTAGTGTCTCTCTCTCTCTCTCTCTCTATATATATGTATATATATATAAGCAAATTAAAATAGTTGTCTTAAAATGGTGAAATATTAAATTACCATTTGCATTACCATTTCCATTGAGTCTTCTACATCTCAATCAATGCAAAGTGTTTTTTATGTTTTATTACTTTTTGTAGTCCCCCCTACTACTAGTAAATTGTGGATTGTGTTTTATTATTGTTTAATCTCTCTCTCTCTCTCTCTATATGTATATATATAAGCAAATTAAAATAGTTGTCTTAAAATGGTGAAATATTAAATTACCATTTGCATTACCATTTCCATTGAGTCTTCTACATCTCAATCAATGCAAAGTGTTTTTTATGTTTTATTACTTTTTGTAGTCCCCCCTACTACTAGTAAATTGTGGATTGTGTTTTATTATTGTTTAATGAAATACAGTGATAGATGTCATCATACAGTCTTAAAAATAAATGTTACAAAAAAGTTTTTTTTTCACCATTTAGCAGAACAATTTTTGATACCCTAAAGAACCTTTAAGAGAACAGTTTTTCTACTACTAGTAAATTGTGGATTGTGTTTTATTATTGTTTAATGAAATACAGTGATAGATGTCATCATACAGTCTTAAAAATAAATGTTACAAAAAGTTTTTTTTCACCATTTAGAAGAACAATTTTTGATTCCCTAAAGAACCTTTAAGAGAACAGTTTTTTAAATAACCTTTTTCCCCTCTTAGTTTAAAGAGCAATACATTTTTTATATTTTTTGTGTACTATAAAGAACCTTTTGTGCAGTGCAAAGGTTCTATAGGTGTTAAAAGTTCTTCATGGAACTATCAATGCCAATAAGGAACCCTTATTTTTTAACAGTGTAGAGAAAAGGAACATCCCGAACATACATCAGAAATCAACTTAAAGAGCCTCATGTCCTAAGATACTGCAGAACATCTTCACTTCAAATACAGATTTTTAGTTTCCCAGAGTGGTTTATAAAATAATATTTTTTCTGATTTATTACTATGTGTATTGCATGATCAATAAGTGGTTGTAAACTTTCTAAATTAGAATTAAACCAGGGAGATGGGTGTTTCATGCTGACTTTACTGGTTTGGTAGTTGGTTGATTATTGAGTTGCTGGATTGAACATGGTTGGTAGTTGATTACGACAGGGTTTAATTGGTAGGTTTAGTACTGTGTTTGATAGGGTTGGTATTTGGCTGATGTTTACCTGCGGTTGGTGAGGTCCCTGAGCAGAAGAAGAGGTTGAAGTCGCACAGGAAAGGGTTGATGTTTCCCCAGTGCAGATTATGGCGCAGTACCGGAGCTTTGCATTGCTAATCACTCGTGTCACGCTGTTACTCACCCCACTACAAACATCTCCACACAAAAGATGCTTGTGCTGCCCGTCCTTAACCATTCAGATCAGATCCAAGGCACACACCCACCAGCAGACACTGTGACGCAAATGATGTACAAACGCATTTACACATGAACATACACCAACTCACATACACAAGCTTGTACATAGGTCGCCTTTCACACACATTCATAACCATGTACATACAGGAAAGTTTACACATGCACACTGCAGGCTACATTGATCCAGTCTCTGTATGCACAAATTTGTTAAAACTGTTTTTAGATAGATGTATTATAATAAAGCACTGAAATTACGTCCATAACAGCAGCTTCAAAAGAAAAGATCATATTCATCCAAATGGCTATCCTTATTATTATCAATGAAAAACATAGAATTTATGAATTGCTCTTTCCTTTTGAGACGGTAAATGGCACATACAAGAATGTACTGTAGATTGCTTTGATTTCTATTAATCCAAGGGGTTTATAACAAACTTCAGCTGACTAGGAACTTATTACTGGAAATTATGAAATATAACCAGACTTTACGACTTTATTTGTCAAAAAAACCCGAATTGCCTCTATGTCTATCTTTACTTCATTTTGTCCATTATTTGCTGCTGTCTTGTCCAGAATGTTACATCGTACAGTCACTGAGGTTGTCCTTCTTTATTTTTTAATAATCAGTAGTTACAATTAAATCTGTTTAAAACACTGTTTGTCAGTGTTATATCTATCAGCTAACACACGTTTTAAAGAATTTTAAATTTTGTATTAGTTTTTCTCGATTGCTTAAACACTATCACCAGGCTTTTGAACTAAAATTTCAAAACCATAACGCCATTTATCAAAAAGCACACCCATTTCCCTAAACTATAAACACTATTCCCCTTTTTGACACATGAATCAGATTTGGGAGTGGAGGAAGGGGAAGAGGAGGAGGAAGAGGATGAGGATGAGGATGAGGGGCAAGGAGACAAGGAGTCTCAGATGAAATTCGTGCCACTAGTTGACCATGTCCTTGTCCATGGTATGACTATGAGGGAGGTTGGGCAATGAGTTCAGCCAAACTTAAGTTGCTTCACCGTCGCCTCGATCATAAGAACCTTCCGGGAGGAAAACAGGTAGGTGTACCTCAGTGTACTCTACTGTAACTTTTGAGTGCTGTACTCTGTTACAACAAATGCATCAAATTGCCTTACATACAGATAGAGTTTCTGTATGCTTCCATTTTGTAAAAAGGATGTTACAGTTACAGTAATCAGTACTTCTATTTTTGTAGGACACAGAGACGATGGAATGGAAGAAGCCTGACTAGACATTTCAGCTGATGCGTGCCAGGGGTGGATCAGGCATGCAAGAGGATTTCCCCCCCGCTGCCTAGCTAGGGCCAGTATAGCCTGTGATGTTGACGAGATTCTCTGGCCTGACCCAGAACAAAGATGTGATGCTGGGGCAGAATATTTTTTGTTGTTGTTTGGTGTATTGTACTGTACAGTACATTAAGGAATAAAAAATGTGCAAATGTATACACATGTGTTAATTATGTGAAAAGTTCCTTGAGGGGGAGAACCACAAGCAACATATTACTGTACTGGTTTTTGTTTTTGGTTTTTGTAGTATTGTTTTGAATTTATCTCACCAGTGTGTAAGACTATGTTGTAGTGTATGTGTTTTTGAGGGCTTGTGTGTGATGTCTGAGGCCAAAGTTTGGTTTTTCAGCAAGAGTGAATGGTTTTGAGTGTAGAGCTTCATTTTGACCTGAAAATAGGATGTTTGGGGAATTGGGTGAGACGTTATGGATTTGTGTTTACTGTTTTGAGAATATGAGGCATAGTTTCAAGAAATGTGTTTAAGCAATCGAGAAAAACTGTAATATCAAGCTTTCATATTTTTTAAAAATTCATATTTAGTCAATAAAAGGCATTTCATTCATTCATTTTTATTAACCCTAATCCCAACATCTTTTAATATTAATTAAGACATTGTTTAGTTCGTTTTTGTTTTATTTAATTAACCTTTTCATAAAAAATATAAGATAATAAATAAAGTGTTTTTTTTAATACGTGGACATTCTTTTAACTTTCTTGGTTATTGTTGTTGTTGTTTATAAAATACATATAGTTACATTGTGCTCATTCTGGGGTTTATGTCTCGCGTTGTTTAATCTAGTTTTAATCTGGCGGAAGAAAAGTCCCCACAAGGTGACCAACAAGCACGCGCTCACGGCCACAAACGCCCAACGCGCGAGCGCGCACTGCCAGCCCCACCTAGAGGAATTCTGGGAAGACATGGCAGCTTCCGCTGTTTGTGTTCACTGAGTTTCCGCACTGAACAGTCACTAAATTAACAGAGTTAAGTTAACTTGACAACTTTATCAGTGGCGCGGTTCGGGATGGAGGAGAGCGGCAGTGTGGACAGTGTGGAGTCGCTGTGCAGGTAACGTTACTTACCAAGAGAAAACACAAACACACTCTCTCACACACACAGAGGCATTACCGAGTGAATATTTACAATACTTGATTCGCAAACGCTCTGTATGAAAACCGTTCCAGGACGTTTATATACAATTTTTGAAGCTTTCTGTGAGGAGCGCTGCAGCTAAGTATGACTATTTATTTGACGGAATGGATAGTTCACCCAGAAATTAAAATTCTGTCATTATTTGCTCAACATTTATTTTGTTCCAAACCTGTATGACTGACTTTCTTTAATTAATCTGTAGTACATTAAAGGAGATGTTAGGCAGAGAATGACACCACTCATTTGCACTGTATAGTAAAGCAGATGTAATGATAGTGAATGATGGCTGAGGCTGTCACCGACTCTAAAGACATACAGGTTTGGAGCAACATGAGTATCAGTAATTGACGACAGAATGTTCATTTCTGAGAAAATGCTTCCTTTAATGTGTAAAGCTCATAGGTGTGCTTTAATCCGTCTTTATCCTCTAATGTCCTTTCAGCTCCACCACGACGCGCTCAGACCGCTCCAGTGGCACCAGAGTTTCAGACACAGAGCCGCGGGTCAGTCAGGACCAAAGTCCAACCCAGCACTTCTTATTCTGTTCCTAAAACTGTTGTATGCTCTGAACTGTTACTATAACTAAACCTCATCTGTTTTTAAATTCCTTACAGAGTAAAGGAAAGGCAATTGAAAAGGTATGAAAATATAAGCGTGAGCCTAAAGTTTGGATTAAGTCTCAGTTCCTTTGCATTGATCTCATGTTCTTCTGTGTGCAGGTCTACAAAGACCCCAGTAAAGGCGAACTTCCTCTTCTGCCAGAGGAACTGGTTCAGGATTCCGGTATTTGTGGTACATTATACTGACTTCCGTACATCATCCATTCTGATGGTTTAAATGTATCTGTTTATTGTGTGTGTGTCCACAGCTAAAGACGTGACTTACATTTGTCCGTTCATTGGGCCTGTTAGAGGATCTCTGACCGTCACTAACTACAGACTTTTCTTCAGATGCACTGACAGGGTAAGAGCCATGTGCTTATGTTGTTTCTCTATGACTGCTGGAGAGAATTTCTAAACTAAAGACTTCCATTACCTTATTTGTTGTCTAGGAACCGGTGTTTGGGCTAGATCTACCACTGGGAGCTTTGAGCAGAGTAGAGAAGATTGGAGCAGCAACTAGCAGAGGTATATATATATATATATTGAAATAAAAATAAATTTGATTAGTAACGCCTTTCTCAAACTCAAAGCGCTAAATAAAGCTGAAATAGAATTGTTAGATGAAAAATGCAAGCTCGAAAAACTTAAAAGTTAGAAATGTTGTTTTAAGTACTAAAAGTGTGATGAATGACAAAAATGAAAAAAGCACAACAAAATTATTATATAATTTAATTTATTTATATATATAATACAAATAATATATTATTGTAGTATTTTTACTTTAATTTTTATACTTTCACATTTTTATTTTCATTATAGTTTAAGTTTTAGTAATTGTTTTATGTATGTGAATGTGAACATCTGGCACATATGAAAATACACTGCTAAAAAAAATATAATAGTTTAGTGTTAGGGCCATTGAAAATATTGGCAGGACATTGAAACTGGCAGCTGAAAAAACCCTTACTATTGACTCCTGATGCATCTTTTTTTTTTTTTTTTGCATATTTGATTAATGTGTATGTCTTGTAGGATATGAGGAATCTACGTTTTGTGCACAAGGAGCTTGAGGACTCACTAAAGAAGTCAGTGTTCGAGGTTCTGATGAAGTTTGCTTTTCCAGTGTCAAACAACATGGTGAGAAACATAAATAAACAGAGAGTATATATTAATACAGCATATAATATGATTTATATATTAAATTAAACTGATTCAGCACCAGCCTAAAATGAATTAGTATCTCTGTCTGTCTCCTTCCTTTCTCTTTGTCTAGTCCCTCTTTGCATTTGAGTATAAGCAGGTGTTTCCTGAGAATGGATGGAAGGTGTATGATCCACTGGCTGAATACAAGAGACAGGTACTATATATATATATATATATATATATATATATATATATTCATCCAATATTTATTGCAAAATAAATCCATTTAGAGTGATTAGGACTCTAATGTAAAGCACAGTTGGCTTGTATCACCCTGAAGGGGTTTGTTTTGCAATAATGATGACAGTGCTCATTATCCCATGTATCACAGGTACTTGCCAAATTAATACATGAAAATAAAGAAATAAAATCTGAAATGCAAACAATCATTTATATAGTTTATATCATCATTATGCAAAAATATTTGCTGCATAATGCTGTGATTAACCAATGAGAATCAAGTATTTGTGCGTCGTGTTTTAAATACACGCGTGTATGTGTGTGTAGGGTCTTCCAAACGAGAGCTGGAGGATCTCCAAAGTAAATGATCACTACGAGCTGTGTGATTCATACCCTGCAGCGCTATTTGTCCCAGTAACCATTACTGATGAGGAACTGAGACGCGTCTTCAGCTTTAGGGCCAAAGGACGCATTCCGGTCAGTGTCATGAGATGTTTCTGAATCATCACACGTCAGTCTGTGTGTGCACAATTATTCGTCCCCGGGCCTCACCACTGAAGCTATTGGCTCGCCCTGTTTTAGGTGCTGTCATGGATCCACCCAGAGAGTCAGGCCGCAGTGGTGCGTGCCAGTCAACCGATGGTGGGCCAGAACGGTCGCCGCTGCAAAGAAGATGAGAAGCTCCTTCAGGCCATTATGGATGCAAACGCTCAATCACACAAACTGTTCATATTCGACGCCAGACCAAGTGTGAATGCTGCAGCTAACAAGGTAGGCACTCACTTTCAGTTCAAGTGTGCATTTTGAATGAAAATAAATTTTGAAAGCCTGTATTCATGTGTATTTTAGATGAAAGGAGGTGGGTATGAGAGTGAAGATGCTTATCAGAACGCTGAACTGGTATTTCTGGATATCCACAACATTCATGTAATGCGTGAGTCGCTACGGAAACTGAAGGAGGTTGTCTATCCCAACATTGAGGAATCTCACTGGCTTTCCAATCTCGAGTCCACCCACTGGCTGGAGCATATTAAGGTGAGACGAGAGTGATCACATTAATCACCTTTCTCAAATGTTAAGAAACATGAGGATGATGAATGTGGCACTGACTGTGTGGTGTGTGTATGTGTGATAGTTGATTCTGGCTGGAGCTTTAAGGATAGCCGATAAGGTGGAGTCTGGGAAAACCTCAGTGGTGGTTCATTGCAGTGACGGCTGGGACAGAACTCCTCAGCTGACCTCACTGGCCTTGATAATGCTGGACTCTCACTACAGAACCATACGAGGCTTTCAGATACTGCTGGAGAAAGAGTGGCTCAGCTTCGGTCACCGCTTCCAACAGGTCAGGGGTCCAGTTGTAGTTTACATGATACAGCAACAAGCAAGACTGTGAGAGAATAATAGGTTTGTAGGTTTCTGTAACACAAATTGCTCACTTGTTAACTCATTCACTATTTCCTATATAATGACTGCTTCAACGTGCCCTATATAAGTGCACTGGTAAATGGGCACATACCATTATATTGACATATGGCTAATTTCTTTGTTTTATATGCTGCACAGCTACTCCAGAAACCAAATTTAGCCTTTCTATCAGAAATTAAATTTTCATTGTAATATCTTGTGTAAATTATTATTTTTTAGTTCTATATAAGTATGTAATATACTTAATTAGCTTTTGACCATTTAAAAAAAAAATACAAAAACATAATATGTACACTACCATTCATACATGTACTGTAGGGCCAGTAAGTCAGTACTTTTTTTCTGTAATGAAATTAATACCTTTATTCAGGAGGGATGCATCAAATTGATCAAAAGTTACAGTGAAGGCATTTATAAAGTTACTGATTTCTGTTTCAAATGAATGCTGTTCTTTTCAACTTTAAATTCATGAAAGAATCCTACAAAATTTACACATTTTCTCAAATATTAAGTAGTAAAATTGTTTTCAACATTGCTAATCATTAGATATGTTACTTGTCCCTCAAATCAACATATTAGAATGATTTCTGAAGGATCACGTGGCACTGAAGACTGGAGTAATGGCTGCTAAAAATTGCCATCACAAGAATAAATTATATTTTAACATATATTAAAATACAAAACAGTTATTATAAATTGTAATAATATTTCACAGTAGTTCTGTTTTTATTGTATGTTTGATCAAACTAAATGTAGCCTTTGTGAACATAAGAGACTTCTATCAAATTGTTAAAAAAATCTTACTGACCCCATACTTTTGAACATTATTATATTTTGTGTATACAGCGAGTGGGCCATGGTGATAGGAATCACACAGATGCCGATCGCTCACCAATCTTCCTGCAGTTCATAGATTGTGTTTGGCAGATGACAAGACAGGTGAGTGCAAAACACCCCCGAGTTTCCAGAGCAGCACCAGCCTATGTCTGCAGTATGTTCTGTGGTCTGTGTCTGTATGAGTAATAGGTATTTGTGTTTGTAGTTTCCTGCAGCTTTCGAGTTCAATGAGTATTTCCTCATAACAATACTGGATCACCTCTACAGTTGCCTCTTTGGCACATTTCTGTGTAACAGTGAGCAGCAAAGACTTAAAGAGGTAAGAGTGAGAATGGCATTGGGAATATTGTTTGCACACTTTAGATGCATCTCATTTACAGAGTAGGAATATGACAGTTAGTCTCTTTAATGGATCATGATGTAATTTGGCAGATGCTTTTATCCAAAGCAACTTACAGTAAATTATCCGTTGTCATTGTTTGTGTGAGACTTGTGTTTATTTATAAGCTGCGTATATGAGTGTGTGTGGGTCTAAGAGACTGTCTGTTTTGTGTTTAGGAAGTCCCGAAGCGCACTGTGTCTCTATGGTCGTTTGTGAACAGTCAGCTAGAAGAGTTTGTGAATCCGCTGTATGTACATTATCCCTCCCATGTGCTCTTCCCCACTGTTGGTATACGACACCTCCAGCTCTGGGTCACCTACTACATACGCTGGAATCCTCGTATGCGACCACAGGTACACTCCAGGTTTTAATGGATGTGTAGGTACTGCTAGGTAAAGTTTGCTCACATTTGTCTGATATTTGAAAGACAATTCATTCAGGCTTTTCACACTGCACTTAAACCCCAGGCTATCATCATTCTAAACTCTGCATTTAACCCCAGGTAAAGGGTAATTTAGCACCACTTTTACCCGGAGTTGCGGACATTCATGGAAATGCAGTGCATAAACCATAGTTTCAGCATTTGAAAGGAAAAATATCAAATGGTGACAGAAAATGTGAATGAAGAAAATCCATTCAGGAAAAACTTGACAGTATTAGACTGCATTTGTCCCAATCAATGCCATTGACACCGCAAATAAGGATGTTAACCTGGGGTTTAGGAATGTACCGTGTCAACTTATGAATACCCAGGATTAATTGTTAACCCCATGTGAAACATGAGCAATGTGAATCAAGATAACCCAGAATTATGTTTACCCAGGGTAAATCATCAACAAAACGTCAGACATTTTAGTTATCATTTTAAGGACTTACTTTTTTTTTTAACCACTTAAGCTCAGGGCGTTTTTTGGTATTTTCGCCTAAATTTAACATACTCAAATTCAAATGTGTACCCTACACACATACAATGGAGGAAATGAAAAAAAATGGTTTCATTGTAAAGAAAACCCTTTGAACTACAAAATATGAGTGTAATTCTTTATAAATAACATTATATACTTTTCAAATATTACTATAAACACAAAAAAAAAAACATAGGCGCTTTTGGAGATTTAAAACTAAGTATTTTTTTGAAAATCTGTAATTCAGGTTCTATTAGGCTCAACTCTCTGCAATTTACTTTGTTTGATGCCACTAGATGCCAAAAAGTGCCAGAAAAAAGAATCTTTCAAATAACAGCTTCTAAACAGGAGTTA